ATTACTTTATTCATAATACAAATATTTCAATTAAAAAAAGACTTTAATTAAAACAAGAATTTATAAATTGAATTTCTTTCAGGAATCAACTGGTAGGCCTAAAAATGACAACACGTGTTAATTGTTCCGTAACAGCATCTAGGATTTGCAATAACCGTGATGCTGGCATATCACCACGTAGTCGTGGTAAATTAAGCATAATTAAATCAGCATTTGTCGATTCACTTCTTATCAAACCATTTAATCCAAGAAGTGGTTCACCCTATGTAATAAAATAATTCTAATTAATTAAAGTTATTCAGAAAATGTTAAGGATAACGAAGAAATACAATGATTACAAAAATTCATTGAAACCATTTGTAGAGATTTCATACATTTTTGATTCGATTCATCTATTTTTGTTTTTCAAATATATGCAAATTTGTTTTGACATGGTTCATAGATAAACAATAACCTACCTTATATGTTCGTCGACCTTTTGACCCTTCTTCTTGTGATATATTCTGATCAAAAGTTGAAAACTTAGCAGCTAAAATGATTGTAATAAGTTTACAAATTCAATTTTAATTTTAGAAAAGAAAAATGCTATAAAACTTTCAAAATTATACTTTGGAATTCGTCAAAAAGATGTAATATAAGAAACTTTGCTTATTTTTTCTTTTTTTTCAAGCATGAGTTTAATAAAGCTAAAATTTTAGTTATCGAAAGGTTGAAAAAGTAGAGAGGGAGGGAGAAGAAGGAAGAAGAAAGAAAAGAGAGAGAGAGACAAAGTCATGATTTATACTCTTCATATTATTTTTCATTTTAAATCTTTTAATAACTTAAAATTTTTTAATTAATCCATTTCACCGGAAGAAATAACAACTGCTTTAGAATGCAAAAATTCCACGATTTTCATTATGTGTTAACAGAAGGAATAATTTTAAAATTTAAAATTTGAAATTTTTAAAACTGTTCCCAACTCTTCATTTTCTATGAAAAAAATCATTTAAAATTTTGATATATATCAGAAGTAATTTAAGACAAAAAATAATTTGGATCGGATAATTTGAAAATGGAAAATAAAAAAATTACATTTAAAAATATATGTAAAATTAGCCAGCGGGAAAAAATATTGTTTATTTGATTAATTTGCCATTGAGTTAAATTTAATTTGAAAATTTAATTTTCACTGTCCCATTAAATTTTCAATTTTTCATTTTTCATGAAATTACCATTTTAATAATGAATGTTTTCTATCGTTAACATTATTAATGATATCATATTATCTGCTATTTGTTAATTATATCAGCGTAAAGTTAATATATGCAGTATAATTAGTTTGTTCTTTAAATTTGAACTAAAAATGAATTAGTAAATTAGCAAATCAATCTGTCAAAAAAATAAATTAATGAAATAGAATAAGTGATAGGAATGAATGAAATATTCATACATCCATACAATGCAATATCATCGGGATTAACCGGTCGAAATTCTATGGTATCAGCTTCCAATGATGCTTGATGAATTCGTTTCAAAATTTGATCTTTGACAGCATCAAATTCTGTCTCTTTAATTACAGCAAATATGCGAAGTCTAAATGGAAATAGTTTTGTGAAATTAATTTTATATTATTAAAAAGTTCTATTTTTCATATATTATCATCATTTCTATACATTACTAAAACTTACTATTAATCATTCAACATTTTTCGCTTTTATATATTATTAAAATTAATTATCAATTATTCAACTTTTAATAATTTTAATGAAAAATTGATTGAAATTAATTTATGTAAAGTTAACATTTTGCACGTTTTGAATAAATTCGGTCATTGAAACTATAACTGTTTTAGTGTTAATTTTTTTGTTTTAATTTTAAAATATTACTTCGTGAATGTCCATCGATAATTTCTACATATAATATAAATAAAAGATAGTAAAAGATCATCGCCTTCCACAATCCACCATAAGTCCAATGTGGACTATAATTTTTTTTTTTGCTGGTTAACTTTACTGTGCTATATAAATATTATCACTGGCAATTAATCGGTAATAAGTTCTAACTCTTAAATCAGTAACCTTATTGATAACAGATTAATTTTCCACAAACAAATTTAAGCAATAGTTAATTTTAACTGATGGTTTAAATGGTGCTTGATTAATTCAATAAAATTGATTAAGTGCATTAACAAGTACTTTTATCAATTTTCCAACCTTACTTAATTGTCATCAGTCATCATTTATAATACATTAATTACTCCAAACTATCTGATTACCAATTAAAATATCGAAAAGTTATTTAGAAAAGTAAATGATTAGTTCTGTCAGTAAATTAATAATTCTATAAATAACTTTAAATAATTCAAACTAACAGCCAAGTTGAATGGTACCGGTTTCCATAAATCACCTTTACATATTAATAAACATTTGTCCACTGTTGCCGCAATTCTATCCCACAATTCACCTTGTCCAGCATATAAACTACTAAAAAAAAAATATTGCAATAAAATTTTTCCATTGCAATAATTAAATTAAATTTAACAATTTGTTAAATTTATTTACATTATTGATCGTAAACATTCATTAATTTTATTTCAATTAATTTTTATGGACTATTTGGTTTAAACGAAACTTTTAAATGATCTTAATAGTTTATCTTGATAATTTTAATTATCTTTTTAATAATTGTTATTTGGATAATCGTTTTCATAATCTTGATAATTTTAATTATCTTCTCAATAATTTTAATAATCGTTTTGATAATCTTTGCTTATTGTTATTGGACAAAAACATATTAACATATTAGTTATCACAAGCTTATTGTCACAAGCATATTAATTTTGTGCTGGAAAAAAAAGTTTATTGTAAAACATATGAAAATTAAGGTCTTAATAAATTTGTAAGCTTATTTAGGAAATTTTGATAAATTTGCTTATCACAATCACAATATGACTATTGTTAGTTTAAATTTTATTTAAAGCTTATGTCAGTCTTAACAAAATTATTAGGATAGTTCAATGCAAATTACAATAGACTCATTAATAAGATCCTTTCCTTCCAATAAATTTTTTACAATTTTAAATTAAATCATGTCAAAGATTCTGTCATTCATTTCTAGTGACGTTCATCCGTCTATTTTGTCAACTTTTAGGCAATCATACTTCTAAACTGGGATAAAAAAACTTTTATATATTTTCACACTACAACTTCCCACATTTGGTAAAAAAAAGACTGAAAAACTGTGAAAATGTCACCAAATGTGCTTTCATTAATTTCTGCTATCTAAAATGAGTCTAATTAATTAATGATCCCATTCCTTTTTTAACTAATTTTAAAATGCATTCTTAAGCATTCTTTTTTTTTGAAAAAAATTTAGCTTCGGGAGTAAAATTTTCAATTTCATTTCCGGATTTGAATTTTTTTGACACGAAACATGCATGAGCTGATTTAAAATTTCAATTCTTTATAGGGAAATTGATTGGAAATTCGTTTAAATTTTAATGTATTTTTGAAAGAAATAATTGAAATTTTTGATTTTTCAATTTTTATTTTTTGAATGAAATTGTATGAATTAATTGAAAATTTGTTTGAATTTTAATTACATTTGATAATAAGAAAGTGGAAAACAAATCAAAAAAGCAGGGCCAGTTTTTCTTTGATTTGTTTATTTAATTTATCGTTTTTCAAAAAAAAAAAATAGCAAAAATAATTGCTAACAAATTGGACGATGAGTCACATTTTGGAAAATCAATAATAATTGTATTCGGCTTCAGGATACCTAAACCGGAACATTGGATTACTGCTGAAGCGGTCTCATTTAATTCACTTAAATTTTCATATGATACAACCAAATGATGCGCATTCAGGCATGATTCACCGATCTGAAACCGAAAAAGAAAAATGAAACGGATTAAAGAAATGGAACAAGAAGTTGAAAAAAAAATTTATGTGACAAAAATGAATTTAAAAAAAAGAAAAAGAGAAAGAGAAATAGAAAAGGAAAAAAAATAGGAAAAAATAAGGAAAACAAGAAAAATAAGAAGGGGAAAGAAAGAAAAATAAACAACGATGTGATGTAAATAATTAAATTTTATGAAAATTTCTTAACATTTAGAAGATTTTTAATGTTAAAAAGTTTTTTTTTTAAAAAAACTTTTTAAAAAGAAAAAAATTTCACAAATAAACTTAATTTAAATATTAAGCACTTTGTTAAAGAATCATAAAATTTAATTTAATAAATTAACTAAATAATGTTAAATTTAAAGAGAACAATCCTAAAAATTTTGCATTTGAAAAACAAAAAAAACACAAAATTAAATATTCAAAAATTATGCAACAATAAGATAATATCATCCAAACCAATTGTGTTACTGCATTTTCCACGAGGTGTAAATATTCACCGGTATCCGGATCTTGTGTATGTCCCTGAAAAATTTATCCGGTTTTTGCATGTACCTAGAATGTTCGAATGTTTATTTAGAATGTTCGCTTACCTCTGATAACTTGTGATCACAATCTTAATGTGATCGCAATGTGATCTTAATTGTACATCATTATCGATAAACAAAATATTCGTAATTCTTATTGTTGTCTGTATTTTTTTACTATAAATATATGACAGAAACGAGATGAAAAATTTAATTCATTTAGTTATCTCTCCCTAATTTTTATTGTGTTATTCGTCTAACTATCCTCTTCCTTTTCTCAATCCTTATTGTTATTTGCCTAGCTATCTTTCCTCTTTTACCTAGCTGCCGTTTTCCTTTTCCAAATTCTTATTGTTATTTGCCTAGCTATCGCATTCTTTTTACCAGTTTTTGTTATTATTTACCTAGCTATCGTCTTCATTTTCCGATTTCTTATTATTATTCATTCAGTTGTCCTTTTTTTTACTATTTTTTTCGAATCGAATTTTTTTTCGAATTTTTTTAAATCAATTTATCAAAATCAAATAATCCAAAAAAAATAATTAGTAGAAGGAAAAAATGCAAAATTTCATAAATTTAACAAATATTTCACCTCGCATAAGACAGCAACAATATTTGATGCTGCACCATCTTTAATCCATTCAGCTACCGCAATTAATTTTTGACAATTAACAAGCCATTCGGGATTTTCATCAATTTGCATAATTAAAATTTGTGGATACCAATGATGTTTAAAATCCTTCTGACTATAAACACAACGTAATAAACGATATGCTATATCAATACGCCATCGTTCAAAATATTCCCACCACCACCACATTTTTATTTGATTTTTTTTTTTAATTTATTCAATAAAATGACTGAATATATATACTTCTTAAATTTTAAATCAATTTTTTCTTTACAAATGAAATATAGAAATATGCAAATTTTAACATTAAAAGAAAATCAAAGATTAATTTTTTTAAATTCGAAAAAAATCTTTTTAATGTAAAAAAAAGGATAAGGAACGCATGTATTTATATGTTAACTAAAATTTAACGGCCTTTTTTCCTTTTTTTTGCAAAATGTGTCAAAGTTTCGCAATAAGTTTAAATTTTATTCCTAATACCATTTGATTATTATACTATTAGCATAATCTAATAAGCACATCTGTTATCACTCAGGAAACAGATTAGAATAATTGAACGGATGATTGTAATATGTATGTTTGGTTAATATTTTTGAAGGAAAATAAGATTTGAGTTTATCCAATTGTTTTAATTCCAAAAATTTTTAATCCGTTAGAATTTTTTTTAAATAAAAATTTTAGGAATTCAATTTTGTTTAAATAATTTTTAAAAATCTGCATTTCTTTAAATATCACTGAAATTTTCGCAATTATTTTATTTGTTTGCTTAAAAATTTCGCATTTCACTTTTATTTGATGTTAGTTTTACTTTATGGGACAATTGATATTTGGCATAATTACATTTAGTTAATGAAAAATATTGAATGAAGGGATGATCCATAGTATTTAACAATAATAGCATGAATTATTGAATTATGAATGAAAGTAAAAATAACAATAAATATTAATTTTAAAGAATCAGAAAATTTTTTCACGTCTTCACGTCATGTAAGCGTATATAAACGAAGAAAATGACGTTTTTATATGTATATTTATATGCATATGAGGTAATTGAAAACACCGGTAATTAAAAACAATTAAATTTTTTATTTATTAATTTTTGCCAATGAATGCATTCGTTATCATTTACAAAATGTTGAAAATATGAATAAATTGTAGTAATTACTTTATATTTTATAATTTACATTTTGTTATTCAATTATTTAGTATTGGAAGGAAATATTAATAGAATTGAAATATTAAGGAATTTAAAAATGAATCATCAAATTGTCACATTGCTTTCGTTGTTTGTTTTCAACGATGGCCGTAAAATAAATCGACAGTTTATCAAAAGGCAATTAATTACAATTAATTTGCAGTATTCAATGCGAATAGCTATACTTACAGGTATCATTCATTTTTTTTTCTTTTTTGATACTTATTTAATTAGATAATCAATCGAAGAGTACGTTACATGACAAGCAATGACTGATCATTCTTAAATGATTTGTGGAATTGATCGATTAACCTATCGATCGATCGATCGATGCATATTACTTTTACCGAGCAAGTTGATTTTCAGATTAGATAGATGAAATGGATGGTCAGTTGTTGCGTACTACTATATATATATATATATATATATATATATATATAT